TGTGTGAGGGTGGAGAGAGGTAGACAGGAAGAAAACAAGACACAGAGTGAGGGAGAGGTAGTGTATGCTGTCAGGCCTCCTGACAAAACAAGCACAGGAAGGTAGAGAGAACTTGACTTTTATTTGTCATTTTCAACACCACCTTTTTAGGACGAAGGGAGCACAGAGGGACAACAACCGGAGAGTTGAGATGAAAAGAAGGCAGTGGAAATAGAAACAGGACAGAAAGAAAAGGCAGCAGAGGCACCCATCAAGCCACCAGACGAAATAGAGGAAGGAAGAGCAGAGACAGAGACAGCGAGATAAAACCCCGGCTTTCTGAATAGGGTGAGTGTCACAAGTTGTCCTGCTGTTTTGTCCACTGTACTAATGCTCCTCCTGTCATCTTGTCAGCTGGGCCTGGGCTGACTCAACGTCTCCTAAAATGGCCACATGAAAGGCAGACAGACGGATAGAGCCGGCAGACACACAGATAGACGGAGGGAGGGAGGGAGGGAGAGAGAGAGAGAGAGAGAGAGAGAGAGACAGAAAGGGACCCAGTGTCAAACAGCATTCTCAGCAACTATGTCACTGAGCCAGCTTAGTTTAGACTGCCTCAACTTGCCTGTCAGAGTACTGTGTGTGTGTGTGTGTGTATGTGTTTGTTTTTTTGTAAAACTGTCTGTTCAAAGGTTTATGAGGCCTTCTGTCACTTTTTGTCTTTCTTTTTATTTCCTGTCTTCTGCATTTGTCTGATCCTCAAAAACACTCACAATCAGGGGCGGCTGTAATCCCATCACTTTGTACACAGTGACATCCGATTTCCAAACTTCAGACAGCTCCTGTAATCCAATCAACAGGTGATTGTTTGCAGGAGCACTTAGCAACTTTTTGTTCGAGTGTGTGTGTGTGTGTTTGTGTGTTTATCAGCTTCCAGGCACAGCACAGTCCTGGAAGTAGCTCGGGCGGAGTGCTGCTGAGAGTTGATGAGACAATCGGGGCTCTTGGGAGGCTGCTAACTTCATGCAGATGCAATCACACCTAAAAGGGTGGACCGAAGACACAGAGGGAGTATCTGAGCAGATAGAGGTGACTATTTGCACAAAAGGCCCATTCAAGATCATGTGGAGCTTATCTCACTACTTGAAAGAAGTCATGTCAGATAGTCCATAACAGGATGGAGAACAAACCTTACCTAAAACACAAATGCAGCTGACAAAGGCCTCTCTTTAAGAAGCAAAAGATTTCAAGAAAAATGAATTTAAAATTGTATGTGCTGTGCAAGATACTTTGGTAACCGATTATAGAAAACATTTTTCATCGCTGTCATTTGTTAATACACTTCATCTGCACTTCTTCTAAGTGTCAGGCAAAAGGGAATGTCAGGAATAGAGACTGTCCAAGGCAAATAAGCTTGTTGTGAGTGACTTAAGTTAGAACATTGTTAAATCATTGAGAATAATCTGGATCTTAAGTATACCCCTAAGGGAAGTACAACATGTGGAAAATGCATGTAATTTCCCTCGGGAGCCACTTGTTTTACTATTGTTGTGCATCTACAGTCTTCACGCATGATATAAGATTAGCATAAGATTTGTATGATATTAGTACAATAGCATCAAGAAAGACAGTTGGCAAGTCCTCATGAATACAGATAGCTATGAACAGAGCAGCTGAGGTGGAGTGCAGAATTAATTCAGGAAAAAAAACGGAATTATGCACTTGTGGTATTTATTTAAATTTCTCATGAGGGATTTTAAACTCAAGATAAAATATTTTTTAAATAATAATTGATAGCCAGAGGCAGAGATGCAGCTTTGAGTGTGTAGGCTTTTGTGTCCTCATGACACATGGGTGTTGTGATGAATGTGCACAGGTCAAATGTCAGGGTGTTTTCTGAGGATAGCTGCTGGCTGTGAACTCTGCCCCCCTTTACTTTCATACATAGTATGAAGAGCTGGTTTCTAGGCCAGGGCCGTCAGCATACTTCTCATTGACATGTTTATGTCAATCCTCTGTTTGATGTAACTTTTCAGAGTTTACAAGGACCAACAGGGTCTTGAGGATACAATCTATCTCTTTTGTAGATTTTTTTTGAATTGCTAACTAATGCTCCAGTTGCCAATCCAATGACAAAGCTCTTATTAGGCTGTTGAATGGGTATGATACCAACGGTGGTTGTAAACAGTTTGCTACATGTAGATCAGTGCCTTGTTTGTCTGTGTGTTAGCCTTTTAACCTCATCTCTCTCATGATGATCAAATGAAAGACCCCCTTGTCCCCCTGATAGGTCATCTGACCCAGGACTTTTGGCCTTTTGACTTCTTTAACACAGTATTCCTTGGCCTAAAGGACACACGTACTTGCAAATGTTTTGGCACACATTAGAAGCTATCCTCCGTGAGGGACCATCCACTGAACAAAATATGTTAGTTAGACAGAAAGCATGCCTTAATGAGGTCTTTATGAACTCTGAGTTTTACTCAAACCATTGAGTTGCCAGATCAGCTTATTGACTTTAACAGACTATCCAAATAAGAACAGTTCCCTGATGAGTTACTTACAGATGGATGATTTGTAGCTATTTGCACGTCTCCTTTGCCTGTTGTTGAACTGAAAACTTTATAGCATTTCCAGTATGGCGACCGCTATCATTGGGCTTCATAACGCTTCCTTAGAAACCAATGGGTAACATCAGTCAAGACTACTTCCATGTTTTATGTAGCTATAGATTAGTTAAATGAAACTGTATGGGATTTTATTCTTTACTAAATATGTCTGAATCATTTACTTGGAGCCTGACTAATATGGCATTTTGTCACTACCAAAAATATATCTTTTATTTATTTTTTAAAATCATTGATTACAGATATGGCACCCGATATTGAGATACATTTGATCTGGAATGAAACGAGATCCTTGTTCTGTGGAATTTGTACCTATTTCAAACTGTGACCATGTTAAGGTACTCCTTTTTACAGTGTTATTCGGATCTGCACATTTAGTAAAATAATTTTCCTGCGTACTGACCAAAAATGCTTCTTAAGTTTTTTTTTCATTTATAAGCTAAAAATCTATAGCTGTAAATACATCTTATTAAAAAAGGGTTCAATAATATGCCAAAGAGTTACCCATTAGTACGTTTTAATAAAAATGCCAGAAGATAAGAAGTCCCAAATCTACAGGTTTTTTTATATCCATGAACACTGTGTCGGCGCCAACACTGGAGACTTCTACCTGCTGCTGCTGCTGTATTTATACCCTCCTCATGCTTTTTGGCTGGGCTGTACTCTCCCTCTGTTCCCCTCATCTCCTCATCTTTTCTCTCTCTTTTTGTCTCCGTCTCAGTCTGGCAGCTTCCCTGTAGTTGGGCGTTTCTCATTCCTTTGTCTGTCATCTCACCATTTCTACACTCGCTCCACTCATTTTGACTGCTCCACTTCCAGAGATGCTGCAGATGTCACATTAAGATTGTACCTTGCCTGCCACTGATGTGTAAACGTGTTCATGCCACACATCAGCAGTGTTCAATCCATGAGGTGTAATATTGTAATTGGGCACTGCCCCTCTCCAAACACTGGGGCTATAATAATGCATTGGTTATATTTAATTGTTGTTGATGATATTCATTTTTATTTTCCAACATCAGGCCACCAAATCAGTCCACTCACCACTTATCTGTAGAATTACGGTTTAACTGTTGGCACTGGAAAAGTGCAGGTGCCAATATAATAAAACATAATGTAAGCAAAGCAGTTATAGACTCATTTCTGAGCTGGCACACACACCCAGAAGCCCAAAGTCTTTCTCTGGGTAAAGCCAGGGTGTTCCTACGCTCCTCTGTTTGCTCATGGATCAAGCCTGAAAAGGGTTGGGCGGTCTCTGCCAGCCTCTGGCTCAGCTGGTTCAGAATAAGGTCAGAAATCCAGTGGGACCTTGCAGGGACTCTTTAGGTACTCCCAGTGAGCTCTAATATAGGAAAGGACTATAAATACTCATTGCTGACTCCTCTATCATACTTTTCTCATCCCCCACTCCCTGTTTTCCAGCCCCTGGGGGCTTACACAGTTGACGCCACCTGTCTTCGGGGGTGACAAAACAGGTTAAGGTGATTCCTTGTATTGTGTTGATTGAGTGGTCCCATGTATAAGTCATGCTGCCTGTTTTCTGTTATTTGACTTGGTAATGATATGAACTGGAAATCCCTGTTTGACTAGGACAGTTCTGAGTTGGCTTTAGGGTGTCCCCCCAACTTGAGAAATATCAGTGAAATAAACAAATGTAAATCAAAGCAGCAACATTTGTCCTTTAAATGCACTGAATGGGGTAGACAGTTATGTCTTTTTCCCTTTGTTCATACTGGTCTAATTCATTAGATTTGTCTTCATTAATGTTGTATTTGTTTTGTAAAACAGGTTAAAAAAAACCCAACATACAGTATCAAGCCAAATTTAGGGTCTTAAAAATATAATATGGATATTTCTGAGTTACTGAAATTTTTTTGTTGTGAGTATGGGTGAGATGTTCATGTTTTTGGTGGAAGACTGCAGAACCTGGCTTATTTTCCCAAAGGTAGAGTTTTATGACAGCAAAAGGACCATAAATCATCTGCATACAGGTGATGAAGCCTTCACTCACATCATCTCCTTCCAATTTTTTGTTAGTATTGTAGGAAAGGCATTATGAATTGATAATATACCATTTATACTGCAGTTGTATGTTTTTAGGTCAAAATGCACGAGGGTCTGTCTGAATTTTTTCCCTTTTTTTATGTCCATCTGTCCAGATCTTATGTCATCTTTGACATACATCCCCACTTCTTGTGAAGGTTGAAGAGTGCATTGTCCCATCCGAATGGAGAAATTAAGGAGTGAAACACGAAACTTGGCCGTACAAACACTTGCTTGTCAGCCAAGCCTGCCACAGATTGTATTGAATGCAGTTGTTACCCTCTATAACAACTAACTTATTTCAGTGTTACAAATTTTTTATGCATTATGGGGATTTCATTCAACAACCCTTATACTTCCTCCAGTGGATACATTTCAGCTGTGTTTCAGCCTCATGGAAAACACCTAAAAACAACTTGCATTACCTACATTTCCTTTGTCTTCCTCTTGCGTGATCTTAAGACACATGTAACTACGTCTGTGCTTGTAATAGATCTCGTCATGTGTCATCAAAGTTTTGTCATGATGATTTAAAAAGAAATAGAAAAAAGTGAAGTAGCTGGTTGCTGTAATGTTGGTCTAAATGGGAACTGACTGCATTTCTCATCATTACAGATTTACATGGGTGCCAGATGGGTGTTTGTCAGATTAGCTTTCTTGGCTTTTTCCAATACTCCTCCATATGTCAAATTTAAAAATTCAAGCTTTGGATTAAATTTGTAAGCACTTCAGTCAAATTCTTTTGCTAGCTTTACGTTGACACCACAAAAGTCTTTTATTTTGAGATTTTTGGCTGGCTGTACACACCTCATGGAGGGCAGCCATTTTTTGTGTTTGAAGTTATTTTCTTGCAGGAGCATCTTTGCGGGTCTATCCCTGCCCCCCCAACACCCCCCACCGTTCCTCCTCTCTTCTCTAGCTCTGCTTCTCTTTCTCCCTCTTTGTGGACAAACACAAAGGAGCCGTTATCCTTGGGCTACTGGTTGCCATAACGACAGCTCACTGTGATTTCCCCCCCCTCTTTCAACATTCCCAAGTTCTGGTCCAAGTGGGTCTGTAAATGTCCTGCTTCTCTTGGCCTTGCAGCATTTAGTGCCAAGTTAGAGCCTTTGTTATCAACTCTCTGGGGGCTCCACCTCGATTGATAAACTACAACATTTGATCCTCCACCTGGAGGGTTTTGGCTTTTTTTCAGTAATATTTCCTGTTTTTCCATATATGACTCATTATTTATTTTGTGATTTTCCCCTCAATTTCAACAATGGACTGTAATTTTGTAATCGTTTCTGAAACCCAACTGTCTTTGTGCAGTATGAATACTGTCATCTATAGTGTGTGCCAGTAAGCACAGTGATGAGGTTTATGTCCTTCTTAGGGTTTTTCCAATCTGACATTTTGAATGTGAACATATTTATATCTGCTATCATGTGTTTTTAGGAGTAATAGATTCATTTTAAGTGCTGAGATAAAACACTGACCACTAGTTTGTTTTGCTTCTTTGTCTTTCCATCTCTTCAGGGATATATGGTGGAATGACTCTGTCATGATGTCACAGCTGTGCCAAAACCTATGCCCAGGTGACCAACGAGGGTGTGTCTGGTTATTAGCCAATCAGAAATGGATCCTTAATAGAATTACCTCAAAATCCTGTTCAGAGAAATTTCCTTTCTACGACCTCCTGCATCACTGACACTCCACCTCTCAGGTGAGATTAGGCCTCAGGATGCCGTCTGCAGACCAATTTGTTTTAAATGTCTTTCTTATTTGACAAACCTATTGTGTTGGTTGCTTTTCTTTGTGTAAATGTTTGCAACTTCTTATGATTAAAACAAATCATTCTCATGGCCAAACTGTTCAAGCATGGAGACAAAATTTGCAACGTATAAAAGCCCAATTAACTAACTTTGTGTCATAAACTTTAATGTCTGTTATAGTATTATTTGATCTTAAATTTGTTTAATGAAAAAAAACACCAACCCTCTTTTTTCTTCTTAGGTTGTAGCTCCTTCATTCCTTCTCCTCCTCGATTCCTTATTGTTTCCATTTCCTATCTTGGGATGTTGGCGTGGTTTCATGGCAGCTGCCATGGAGAAACATTAGTTCCTTTAGTAGGTTTTTTTAGAAACAACCTCCAGATGTTGGGCCAGATGCAAGTTGTCCACAAGGGCAGAATTAGAGAAGGACAGGCACAGAGGTGAGACGCTGATCATTGACATTGTCCTCAAAACACCCCCTTTTTCATTGAGACTTTAGACAAATTAGGCATATGCCGCACCTATATTGAATTCTTTGAAATGGCTGTTCTGTAGTTCTTTCTTGTTTGAAATATTAATATCCCATCTAACATTTAGATTTTATGTTGAATCAAACTATGATAAGTACCTTATTAGCCTTTGCTTTTGTGTCATTTTATTTTCTTAAGTCAAAGTAGTAACACTTTCACACTGTTCAAATACCAACAAGACATCGTGAAGTCATGACACCGTATAAGTTTCAAGGCTGTTTCTCAAAATCACCAATGAGAAGCACGCCATTCTCGCAGTCAAAATAAAGAAGGCAGATGATAGGTGTTAAGCTTCCAGCATTCATTATTTTTGTTATAATTAATCGCTTTTTAAAAATCTGTACTGAAAATAATGACTTTTTTTCCTCTCAGGTGCTGTGAAGCTCAGCTTCCCAATTCCCACTGTATGACACCATCACAGCAGGAACTATAGGACTTTGTAATCCTGTGGAACATTTTGATCTGCCTCTGCAAACAATTCAGGACCAATTTGACCCTGTTACAAAAAAACTTAGTAAAGACTTTTATCCATCATCATAGAAACCATGCGGCACATCCACGTTGAGTTAGCCCATAAAAAGACTCCATTAGAGCTTCCAGCCCAGGAGGGAGACCTGCCTCCACCTACACCCCCATTACAGGGCCTGGATCCTGGGGTCAGACCTGGGGCGCCCAGGCACTATGGCCAGGAGGAGTTGCGGCTCCAAAAGGTCTATCAGCTCTCCATTTTCTCCCAGTTGGGGGGATTTTCTAGCTCCACAGAATCCCACGCTGATACCCAACAGAGACCTGTCAGGTTGGCAGTGAAAAGGGGGCTAGAGGAACCCCAGGCGACACATAAGCGTCCCAATTTAGGGGATTGCTCAGACAAGGATGTGTTGGAGGGAGGGGTGCTGTGTGGGCCTGCCCCAGCTCAAGGAGTTGGGATGGGGTTAGTGACGGGCCCTAGTGGGCTTGGTTCAGTTTATTCTTGCACACCAGTGGAGCACAGAGACTCTGAAGGAGGACTGTCACCAAGGTCTCCTTCCCTCTCCCCAGTCCAAAACCCTTCCCGACGCCCAACGCAGCACAATCATGACAGGCCGGTCCCTGATGTATTTGCTCCACTCTCTCCTAAATCCCCCCAATTGTGTGACCCACATGGTCACCTCCCTGATCAGGGATTTTCCCTCGGGAGCTCAGCTAGAACGGAGACACCCAACGGGAGCCACACACCGACCCATACAAATGAGAGCAGTAGTAATGGCTCATCTGGAGGCCAGCCCAGTCCCCACTTATTTGATGTGTCCACCTATGAGACCCCCAACCCTGCGAGCCCCACTAGCCCTCCAGGCCCTTTCTCTCCCCCACACCACACAGAGCTGCAGGAGCCAGGGGAGGCCACTGAATGGGAAGCTGGACTTGAATCCTCTCCACCTGAGCGAAGTGCCACCCAGGCTGCAGCTTCCCCCTCTACTGGCCTGGCTTCCTGGGAGAAAACTCCCAGTAGTAACAGCCACCGTCTGTCTTCTGGAGGCCACTGGCCGGCCAAAAAGAGGCTGCTGCCCCCGAGCGACACGGGGGAGTCATGTTCAGAAGATGAGGGACCCTCCACATCGAAGAGAAGCAGGTTGTCATTGCTGGCTTCAGGACTGGGCCCGGCGTCATGTCGCAGCACTGATGCTAAAGCTGCACCTTACTGGAACCATCTACTGCCCTCTGCATGGGACCGGCCTAAGGTCAGTGCGCGCACACAGACACACACATCTGTGCATCCTTATCAGATTTTCATCTTGTGTAATAGATTGTTTCACTGAACCGGCTAATACCTTACATATGCGGTTATTAATTCTATTGTTACGAAAAGGCAGTGACATCTGGTGTACAGGTTAGCTACTTCAAAAGTTATCTTATCACAGTGGTTCCAAAAGTGGGAGGGGGGTATCCTAATGCCTTCCAAAAAACTATTACAAATTTAAAATATTTTAAAATGTGTGTATATTACCCATTATTGTATAAATACAGTATATACAGAAAATAAGTCACAAAAAGTAAATCAATTTCAAATAAAACCATATCATTAAGTGAAATGAAAAAAAATGAATGTAAAAAAAAACGTAAAATATAGGTTTGCACTTGACAGCAAGAATGAAGGTGTCTGCTGCTCTTTACACATAAAGATACACACACCTGTGTGTCTATCAAGTTATGCATGTCCACTCAGTGCTAAAGTCAGTCTATGGTCTAAACATATTAACTAAACATAATAACTAATTAACTAATTACTAACTAGTTAATTACTAACTAAACTAATTTAATAGTTTTTAGGCCTTTTAGTGTCTAAACATGGCTGTGCACATTTATATGCTAAAACCACCTCTAGGGACAGAGGAGCACCCTCTGGCACCCTTATTTAAGGGGTCGTGAGCCGAAAAGTTTGGAAACCCCTGGCTTAGCCAATGTGTAGTGGCCAACAGATCAGTTGCCAACAAATCAGGAACTGTGACCGAAGCCTTTTTGATAGCAGAAACTTAGTAAGTGTTGCCTTATAAAAATATTCTAAAATATATAACTATAACACAAATATTCCCATGACACCCATGGTAAAAAAATTAGAAGGGAAATAGCAGTTGGGCTAAAAAAAAATGTAATGCCCAGATTATGCAATTTTCCAACCCTAAATAACCACCACCTGAGGGAAGCTCTTGGAGTTTTTATTGCAGCATACATTAAAAACACAGCATGCGCACATTTGCATGCAAATACTGTGCTTATAAAGTGACAAACATTGAGTCCATCGTATGCTGAAGCCTCTAAGGCTTTGAATTCTGAAAAAGGAATAGTGTTCAATGGTAAGACATCTGTTAGCCTTTTTTCTGAGACTGTCAAGGCTGAGGCATAAATATAGAGTAACTAAGACAAAGAATAAAAGTGAAAGAATGAAGTGAAGGCCAGTTCATGATCACACCATGCTGGAACAGGCTGAGTAGCTCCAGAATAAAGCCCATTGAGGAAGGGTTCATTGTGTCCCCACGAGTGTGCAGTGTGTCTCACACATGTACACACATACACACACATACACATATAGACTGCGGAAAAATGGTTCTGGAAGGTAACTGACCATTTTTGAAAAACCAGAGGCCAGAATGCGAGTTTGCTAAAAGGGACAATGGGGTTCACTAGTTCACTAGCTAGGTTTCATGCAGTCGTGGGAAACGTTGTGACCACAGTTGTTTAGTGTGTGTGATAGGGAAACACAGGGAGAAACAGAAACATGTAAAAAAAAAAGACTTGATGAGTCAAATTAGAGACAGAAACTTTAGAATAAAGAGTTACAACAGGAGTGAGACTATATCGTCATCAGTGGTATTTGAGTAAATTAAATATATTTTTAAGTAAGACAGAAAGTGGCAACAGGAGGATTGGCAAAGATGCTGTCTGCGTTTTCATTCGGCGGTGACAATAAGATGACAAGCTGACAAAGAGCTAGGGCTAGAGAGCCAGTGTAACCCAAGGTGAGCTTATACCAACAAGCTAACCATGAGTGACAATTTTGCTGTTAGCAAATGGCTAGTAGGTAGCATAGGTTTGGCAAGTGACGAGTCTCCTGACAGTTGGGTGGCCTTTATGATGAATGGTAGTGTGGAAATGGGGAACGTTTTCGCATCTGACACAACATCCACCGGTCAGAGCTCAGTAAGTAAGAGGAAACATAAAACAAAAAATGTAATGTTTAAATTTCTCTCACGGAGACACATGATGTGAAAAGAAAAAGCCCAATCCTTGGTTTTCTTTTTTGTTGCAGTTTGCGTAAAGAGAATTTATAAACATTTCAAGCAATGGGCTTATACTGTAATAGCTAGGTGCTGACATAAATCTTGATATAAAAGAGGAAAACTAATTCATTTTTGTACTCTCTTTGTTCAGACTTCCACAGACTGCACACGACCAGGAAGACGGCTAAAAAGTGGGCTTCGGCTAAAAAGGTGAGCGCTGCCTCTAATTCAGACTAAGTTCTATCATTAAATCATGAATTTTACAAAAGGGGCTTTTTTAAAAGGATAGAGAAATACATATTTTAACTTCCAGCAGGTGCATTAGATTAGTGTATTTGTGTGTGTGTTAGGGCATGCTCACATTTGGATCATGTTAGTCACATTCACTGCAACAAAGTCAACAGGGGGAAAGAAGGGAGTCAGCGTAGGTTTGCCAGTTATTCTAAATTAAAGGGTACTTTGTCTGGACTTGAATACTCAGACACGCTCTGAGGCATGTGAAATGTCGGTTAAGACAAAATTAGTGTAATCTTCACCACTAACCAGCAGTCTGTTTTGTGTGTTTGCGGTGTCATTCAGTCGGCAGCTGCGCAGCGGGAGACACACACAAACCGCCACTCCACGCGTTCCAGTTGGCCCTCATCTTCCATCAGCAGAGCTCTCCTCGGCAACTTTGAGGTACACGTTTTAAAGATTATTTCAATAACTCCTTGAGACACTGCAGGTCATATACGTCACCTACCGGTATGTCAATTCTCTATTGAGAGACCAAGGTGCAAATCTAATTTAACTAGCTAAACCCATTTCGGCTGGAAGTGGTTGAGTCTTGGTACTTTCAATATCTTCAACTTTCAAAATGGTGTTTCTAATTGGTTTGTATTCCACATTAAGATACAGGATATGGGTGGAAAAAATCTGCCAAACACCTCTTGATGTAGGAGTAGTCAAGTACAACTTAACATCGAACGATGACTTTAGTGCTCTGTTTGTTATAAAAAAAAAATTCTGAAAGATTGAACTTTTCTTGGATCATGCTCTTGCGGAAAACAGATGTGTACTTAATAACCTCAACACTTCTCTGGTTTTAATCAGGATGAATACATGAAATATATTTTTTGGATTTTGCATTGATTCTGCAGGGTGTCTGTCCAAACTACACTCGGAGTGCAGCTAGTTTAGATTTAGTTCAAGTCTACATACCCTCTTCTCTGTATCTTGTGTATTCCAGGAGTCCATACTGAAAGGAAGGTTCTCCCCATCTGGACGGATCGAAGGCTTCACTGCAGAGATCGGTGCCAGTGGCTCCTATTGCCCACAGCACGTCACTCTGCCTGTGCAGGTCACATACTACGACATCTCAGAGCACAGCGCACCCTCACCCTTCCTGGTCAGTTTTTTTTGTGTGTGTGTGTGTGTGTGTGTGTGTGTGTGTGTGTGTGTGTGTGTGTGTGTGTGTGTGTGTGTGTGTGTGTGTGTGTGTGTGTGTGTGTGTGTGTGTGTGTTGTGTGTGTGTGTGTGTGTGTGTGTGTGTGTGTGTGTGTGTGTGTGTGTGTGTGTGTGTGTGTGTGTGTGTGTGTTGTGTGTGTGTGTGTGTGTGTGTGTGTGTGTGTGTGTGTGTGTGTGTGTATGTGTGTGTGTGTGTGCAGCTTTAGTCAAGAACAAACAATAAACCAAAGATAAAAACAGACACTGTTTTATTGCACATGAGCGATTGCTTGTTTGCTTGTAAGCAAATCATACAGCCATCCAAAGAAAATCAAAGAGATCTGAACAATCACCCAAAACAAATATAGAATTGGCGAGAACAAGGTTGCTGCTGGCTTGCTTCTTCAGAGCCAGATGTATAAAATATGTGGTGTGGTTTATCGTCTTGAAGGCCTTTTCAACAACTGTCAACAACAGTACTGAATACTATATTCATTACAAAGGAATTATAGTATAGAAGATTACAAAGTCCTTCGTAAGGTAGGGCCAGCCATAATGTTTTAAACAACCTTCATCATGTCTCTAAGAAGTGTAAATTTGCCTTGTTGTTACACTGGAACATTGGATACCAGCTGTTGTTGTTCAATACCAGAATTTGAAGCCTCATTTCGTTAACTTCTTAGTACTTTAAATTAGATTTTACAGTTGCTATTAGGAGGATTTGTGTAGCTGCTGTTTTAATGATAGATCTTTTTGTATTTTGGGAGATTGATTGTGTTTGTTAATCATCTGGTTTCAAGTGTGTTACCTATCCAGATGTATCTGAGGATTATAGTCATACTAATGTCATACAGCTTCTTCAAAATGGCACTTTTAATTCAGGTTTTGATCCTTATGTAGAAGTCAACAGTGAGTAAAACATTTAATCTCTGGCTTGTGTTTCTCTGTCTGCCTCACAGGGGGTGGTATCTCTCGAGCCTCTTGGAAAGAAAGGATATAGCATACCCAAAGCAGGGACCATACAAGTGGTAAGTTCGTCTTTCCATCTCATCCTCATTTAAAAAAAATAGAAATACCGCATTGCTTATTAAATGAAAAATCTTTCAGATATTAAATCTGTGCTACCACCATGTTCTAAATAGATCACAAAGGACTATTTTGATATGTTCATACTTACTTTTTACTTGTCATTGCAAGGGTGAAACTATGGGTAGTAAACTTTAGTTATATAAGGAAATGGAAAAAAAGAAATGCACTCATAACGTACAAAATATTTCCAGATTTGTATTTTGTTGTTTAAAATGCTGATGTGATCTGACATCTGTTCACAGACCTTATTTAATCCCAACAAAACTGTGGTGAAGATGTTCCTGGTGACCTACAACTTCGGAGACATGCCCGTCAATCACATGACCTTCCTGCGCCACAGAATCTTCCTGGTGCCTGTAGAGGAGGGGGTTGAGGGGAGAGGCGAGGCGTCGCCAGGGGAGGGAGTTCAAGACAGGAAGAAGATTCTCTGCTACCTGATGCATCTAAGGTATGACGGAGATTTCATTTGTTGGCATTTCTTTCGAAGAAAACGCTTCATTAACTTGTGTTGTGATGTCTGGTAATGTTTCATAGATTTACAATAAGAACTTAAAAAACTTAATTAAGTTATGCCTTTTAATTTGAACAAAATGTGCTGTACATTTTCAATGATTCTATGATGTTGCACACTTGTAGGTACATAACGACTTTGAAATGTCTCATTGAGTAATTGCAAATGTTTTTTTGTGCATGTGCAGTTATTTTCCAGATGCCAACATTTTATCTCTTTTTTTTTTTCCTTCCCTCCCAGATTCCAGAGCTCCAAATCTGGAAAGATCTACTTGCACAATGATATCCGGCTGCTATTCTCCCGCAAATCCATTGAAGTGGACACGGGGATCCCTTATGAGCTGAAATCTTTCACCGAGGTGCCAAGAAACCCTAAATACTCCCCCCGCGTGTGACCCCAGCTTGACCCATTGGACCCTCCTCAACGTCAATGCAGCCCCTCCTGTGCTTCCCTAAAGGAGGAAGAAAAACAAACAAACAGACTGCAAGAATGATGGACACAAAACTTGACTAAACTTGATGAGACACGCCACATGCACACGAGACACACATGCACATTTGATACAGTTTTTGTGAGAGTAGAGGTCCTACTTTTGTGCATTTGTTTGCATTCAAAGTAAAACACAAATGTAAGAAAATGACACTCAACCAGGGCATTCCTTGTATCTTCCATCAAGTGTAAAAAGATTAGAAATAATGCAGCTTGTATGCAGTCAAAAGCAGGACTTTTACAACACCTTAAAGTGTACAAAAATAAAAAAGACACACACACACACACACACACACACACACACACACACCAAACAGACTGACAAGACTCATAAACACACACACAGCACATACTATTCATTTGTGGTGGCGACTCTTCAGTGTTAACATGCATGCCTTTTGACTTAAACACCTGAATTTTTCCTCTAGTGCCGTATCACACTGTCCTTCAATCTGCCTGCAACTCCAGCCGCCTCATTGGACCAATAATTTCCACACCTCTGATTGACACTGTCAACAAACTGTAAGCCTCTGCTGATTGTGGGGTGCTTTCTCCAAACATATACTTTACACACACACTTTCTGACCAGACAAGAAGGGGGCAAGAAAAGACAGAAACACTAGCATACTTTTGCTTGGAAAGGCTGAAATGGAATCAGCCATCTTGATTGGATGTTTTTATTATTTAAAACATAACTATAAACAAAATACTTGCATAATTTGACAAAACTCAGGACCTCTGTTAAAGAATACATTTAACTTCTCACCATTTCCCCAAATCTTGGTACATACCATGTGTACCCTTCAAACCAGGAGGGGCACACCAGGACATGAAAACAGGGGGATCCAGTTCATATTATGTAGCCAGACTGAGGGACACTGTGCTGAATTCTATTTTAGAAAAACACTTTTATTTTTAGATTCTGTTCAGAACAGACTGATGTTGAAGCAGAAAATGAAAAAAACGACAAGCTGTAGTAGATTTTAATTTATGTTTTCGCAAATGTCTTAAAAAGCAATATGCTGCACAAAGTAGAGTGTGTTTTTGTCAGCCGGACGAGCTTTTCTCTTTGGAGTGGGGAATGGAGAAAGTGAAGAAGTGAGAGTAAGAGCAGGGAGGGGAGGGGGAGGTGATGAGGGAGGGGAGGGTGGTGGGGTATTTAATATTGGGGGAAAAGTCTATGTATATTTAAAAGAATAAACCCTGCGACTGGCGAGTAGTACTTGTGTTTAATGTTTTTTGTTGGAGAGTCTTAACCTACAGTCTTACTATTTAAGGTGTTATTCATATATTTATACTCAGGTTACTATAGTGAATCTTTGATCATGAATATTTACTTCATAGTAATCCAGCATTATTTATAATGTAAAAATGTATTTAGAAACTTTTGAGAAACAGCATATATGAAGATATCTAGTTTTTTTTATTTACCAGGACCAATGCACAATACAGGATTTCTGTTATAAAGGAAACCCTGAAGCCATCACGGTTATTTTTTTGGGCTAGAAAACAGCTTCTCCGCTGCTTCAGATAACATTATTTTCCAACCATAACTAGTTAACTGAACCTTATATGGAAAATTGTTGTTGTGCCCCATTAAAGATAATTATTGTTAAGGAGTGCTTGAAACATATAATCAGATACTTGTGATTTTTTTTAGTTCCACTGTTTAACGAATGATTTTAAATGAAAATCATCAATACTAACATGGGTTTAAAAAAAAATGTTTTTAATCACGCTTACAGAAGTTGCTGATTACGACTACATCAAGTATGAGCTTTTGAATTTGTGTGCATTTTTTTCAAGCAAATAAGTGTTAAGAGGAGAAAGTTCATTACTTTTAACAAAGACTGGACTGCTCATATGATTAATCTTGTAATGCATAAAACGATGCTATCATAGTCACAAAAAAGAAGCCGTTAAAACCAGTATGACATAAACATTTAAGCGTTAACGGGCTTCCTCTACTTAGACCATCAATTAGAAGGTGTTGTCAGGTGATTGTGGATATTGCACATGTCAAGTGTGAAATCAGTGCAGTATGAGTGGTCTGCCTGAACCAGCTTGCAGGCGCCGCCTCATTTATACTGCAGTTCGTGTGACTCATTCCCCTCTAGCTTACCTATCTGAGGTGTCTTTTATTGCCTCAATCGAATCTCTCAAACCTTGCAATCCTGACAAATCTAACGTCATATCTATATCGGTCTACGCAATTTTGAGAATAACCAGGAGCCCATCCTTTTTAAAGAGGAATGGTTAAAAATAGACGAACCCATTCACCCATCTCATCCACCAACCCACACAAACAGACTGTTATTCATTTACACACCGAGCTGGGCTTCTGCAGCGGCTCATATGGGTGTGACTGACTCAATAAACTTTAACCAGGATAAAAAAAAACAGCAGTCCTGTATCTACACCAGAGCCTGAACAGGAAAGAGAGCTCGAACCGGGTACAGATTGTCATGCTGCCTCTTTCTTTCCAACCCTCTTTAACATCTGTTCATTTAACAATACTATTTAAAGGCAGAAGAATATTATCCGCAGCATTATCCGGAGGTGGGAAATTGGGTGACTGGGTTTGTATCTACTTTTGCCTCTATGTTTGTAACACCAACACCTCTAATCCCAAATGTTGAAACTTTCCATGTGACTGTCTCAAAGCATATTCTGACCCCTGGTGGCAGCAAAAAAGCATTATCCAGACCTGCCAAAGCAGCACTTCATTTAATGCAGGAAGAAGAGAGCTCTATCTGCAGAACATTGTGGGGGCAAATGAAGATCAGACTTTGGTTCATCTTCACTGCAGCACTTTAATAAGTTTCATTTATAAACATTTTATACTTGTGGCAGTGTCAAGACATCATTCATGAAAGTGTTTCATGACCTTTAATCATTGTTCCGCTTCACTTAAAATCATCCATAAAAAAGTCCCATCATTGACTGTCTAACTGGTTCTCATTGGCTGAAAGTCCCTGAGTTTTATTAAAAGAAATCCCTGAGTTATAGCAGCTTTTTTTCCTCCTTCTCCTCCCCTATATTACATCCACCAGTGTGTTGGCGGCGCCCTCAATGGCCTGGCTCAGTACTGACAGGTGGTAGTGCACTTTGTCCCAGTCGCTGGATTGTCCTGATGACTCAGCTTTGACAAAAGCATCAGCAAGACCAGGAAAGGTTAGCTTTCCGGCACTGCTGGAAGCCCAGATTACATGTCTGTGAATCACAAAGGCAAATAGAGAGATTAATCAAAAATAGGCTGTTGAAACTTCACAAGTAGCCTAACCATACATGATCGATATCCTTCACCTATATTGTCTTTGACTGTGCTTACAAGTCTGTGGGGCTGTCCTTCAGCAAAGCAGTGCTTGAAATAAATATTAGTAGCCTACCAGCAGAATAACATGCTAACAATGACATGCTAATTTTGTAATGCTCCCCTTATTCATCCCTCTCTTAGCATGCTGACAGTGTGATGGCATGCCGAGTTATAATGACCCATTATTTGCTTAAATTATTCATCTTGTTTGATTACATTAACAGTCCTTTATTCTTGCTCAATAAGGCAATAATACAGTGTTTGAGATTACATTACAATAGCTAGGAATTACATTTTTTCTTTTGTTCTGGTAGTAATACAACAAAAAGGTAATGTTAGCCGTTAGCAACCTCCTGTATGGCAGGCCTGGCTGTCTGATCATCTAAATTATCATCTAGTGCAGATTTCCTTCCAATTTTCACCAGTCATTGGCTTCTCAGTGAAATTATTATTATTTGTAAGGCACCTGTAGGCCTACAACTTGATGATGTTCAGCAAACGATAGGCTACTTAGCTCTTTACTTTTTAAATCAAAGTATAAAAACATTAATAGTTTCATGACAATGCTGACATTAATCCGTAACAAGATATATGATTAAGGCATAATCTCACAAAATAAGAATGAATGCCAATGTTTCCTCAGAGATACACCAATAGCCTTTCCTATCTTGTTTTTCTTCTGTTTTTTTTAACGTAGAAATAAAAGAAAAACTGCATATGTCAGCATGCGTCCATTCTGTTTTACCTGAATGCATATTTATCTGGGAATGCAAGAGGGTTCAAGAAAGCGCGGTCCAGCAGCATGAGCTGGTCGTTAATCCTTCTGACTTTCAGTGGTCTAAGCATAAGAGCGATAGAGAAAGACAGACAAGGGTTATTCATCGCATTCAGTTCACGTAGAAAAGGCATTACAATATGTTGGTACTCTACGTCTGTGCTCTTACGTTTCATTTGCCAGGTCTGAGCTTTGAATCACCTGATCCAAATGAGATGCTGCACTCGTAAAGCTTTCTACTGCGCGTTCCAGTGGTTCTGAAACAAGAAACAAATCCTAAATACATAAAAAAAATGCACCTATCAAATCTTGTGTGGCTGTTAAACTGATGCTACTGTTGTTAGTGTTATTCTTTAGTCCAGCCTGGAGATGTTTTTAGCATTATCGCAGTGTGTTCATGTTACAAGGATGGTTCAGTCCAGGTGCTGAACAGATAAATGTTCAGTCTTTGGTATGACCATTTTAAGTATCGAAGTAAGTCAAGTGATTTATCCAGTTGCATTAACTCAGAATGAATACACACATGTTTAAATTATGAAACAATTCTGACTTTGTTGTGCTTACCCATGGAAATATTTCTAGCTTGCAGTTGGGTCTTATATAGGTGCAATGCTATATTGAGGTAGGCCTTTAAGACTTCAGAGTAGTCACTGCAGATGAATGGCAATACCAGGCTGTCAGCCAATCGGATCAAGATGTTTCCTGCTGTCCTGGCAACAGCTTGGTGACTGGTAAACCCTGAGAGAAAGAAGTGGTACAATGAAATCTAAGACAGAAGATAACATATCCAAGTACCAACTTTTTAGCTGAGAAATAGAATTTGGGTTATTATTTACCAAAAACATTGTACAATGACACTAAAATGTAAATGAGCGGAATTTCTGCCATTGGCTGTGAACACAATGTTCAGTACATTGAGATTCAACATAAACATGAGAATAGAGGTTTCTCACCTGGATCAATGAACTTTGAGGCATAGTCGAAGGTGTCATAGGCTGTGTGGTAAGCAGGATAAATCCGAGCATTTGTTTTACTCTGTTGGAATAAAATACAATCATGATGTGATTTACATAACCAATTAAATAAGTTCTAGCTTACTTAAACATGTTCATACCATAGACTGCATAAAGGAAGCAGACGTACAGTAATCTCTTGGTTTCAAATGTGAAGCCACTGTGAAGTTCCTATAACCGGCATTCTTTCTAATGGCCAGCAGGGGGCGACTCCAATGATTGATGAAAAAAAAAAGATGGAAATGCCAAAACGCTATACTTACAAATGTTGACAAACCCATGAGTGATGTCAAAGTCACTATGTCCAATTCTTATAAACAGTCTTTGATGCAGCGCTAAGCAGTGCAGAAAAAAGGGAATGTCTTTGTCCAAATGAAAATTACAGCAGAGGGATTAACAAACAAGGCTTCATTTAAGGCCCCAGCATTGCATTAGTAATTAAGGATATTTTTGTGCTTTTTGCAGCTTCCTCATATGGCAAGCCAACCCTATATACTTTGCTGTAAAAATGTAAGTGAATTACAGGTAAAGAACCTCGGAAACTGGAGTTGATATCATACAAGGTTCCCAAATCCGACAGAACTCAAAAAAAAAATATCACAGTTATAGGCAGCAGACTTTTTTCTTACCCTGTCATATGTGTATGACATGTCTATGGAAGTGATTCCCAGGTAATGGACAAAGGCAGCATAGTCACTCCCTGCTCCTGTCAGGTATCCCATCCTGTCAAAGAGGAAAGAAAATAAAGGGAGGTTTTTCTGGAAGCATCACAAGCCTGAGGTTTTTAATTGGAAGCACACACTATAATGCAAATCACGACCAAAAACCAAAAAGGATAAACTACATGGTGTACCTGATAAAGATAAGTCCTGGCATGTCCACGTTCTACTTATATGAAGAGTAGCAAAAGTTGTTTAGCATGCTGCTGGTGTTGGCCTGTAGGCCTAAGCTCTTTTAAAGTGGCACAAAATACTTAAAGCCATACTAAAGCCATGTACTTCATTTGAAATCATGAATGAAGGCTAACAACAAATGAGATGTGCCAGAAATGGTCAATTATCTCCCAGGATGCATTGTAAAAAAGGGGAAAGTTGTAGTTTATTACTTGGGAATGACTCCGTGTTCTTGGCTTGTCCGATTGGAATACTTGAGCCAGTTGTCGTACACAGACGAGGAGACACTTCCAGGTGCTTTGACCTGGAGGACAAACAGTTTCATGTGGCAGTATCGGGATGGTTTGAGGACAACACTTTTAGTTACAGGGCAGCAGAGACCCATTTCAACAGACACAAGAGCTCACCTGTTTTGTGGCTTTAAAGATGACGTTCTGTACTGATGGCATCCCCGAGGCTCTGAGGGTGGCATTGGCTAAAACAGACAGGAAATAGGATTGTTTCAATTCAATTCAATTCAAAAAACTTTATTTGTCCCCGGGGGGCAATTGAAAGGCACACAGAGCAGTAAATTAACAACAGTGCAAGTAAACAAAACATTTTAACCTAAATATAAAGTGTCAATTTAAATACAACTTAAAGCTTTTAAGTTTGGGATTAGCATGACACAATAAACAGGTAGATACTCCAACCACAGCTTTCACCTGAGATGAGTCAGCAACAAACTTCATATAAAGCATATAGACAATTATTTTCATGCATTGTATCTAAATAGACTATACAGAGAAATCAAAATGACGTACTATTAGCTCAAACTTCTGGTGGTTGAAAAGTCATCACAACCTATCTTTTTCTAATCTAAGTTTTTAATGATGAATTTTTGTTACTTTCAGTGTGTTGTTGGGCTAAATGCAAGACATTTTCAGTAACTTCTGACAGTTAGTAAAAGGAGAGCTTCTTACCAAAGACAGCTATATCCACATTGATATAAGCAATGGTGCGTTCACTCAGCTTTGTGAAGTATTGCTAAAGAGAAAAAAATAAGAGAAAATGTGTTTTTTCACTGTAAGCATATAAGAAAAACTTGCAGAGAATCCTAGCATAAAAAAGGCATTAACTTCTTTAATGGATTTGGTAATGGCTAAGAGATTTAAATAAAGAATAGTTGTGTGTTTTGTTGCTTATGATTCAATCTTTCCATTTGCTTATTTTTTTCAAGCTTTAAAAGAAACATGTTCATATTTCACAATAATAAATATATGTCTAATCTTGCAGACTCATTGCAATCACCTCTGTGTATTCTGCAGACCCAATAAGGCCAAACTCCTCCGCTCCCCAGCTTCCAAAGATCATTGACCTGCGAGGCCTCCATTTTCCTGCCACAGAGAGAGAAAAAATATAAACTCTTAATCCAGCACAATTAACAAAATAATTCACTACCTAAGACTCTCCTCCTCACCCTGCTTCACCATCTGGCCCAGTACTCTTGTCAATTCCAGCATGACCGACGTCCCGCTGCTGGGGTCGATGGCACCGTGAACCCAACTGTCCCTGTGGTTCCCATAGATCACATACCTGTCTGAGCACAAACACAGAGCAGCCACAGAGCAAATCAAAACCTGGAACAAAAACTGCTGAAATCTGAGGGCAGATTTGGAGTCTGTGACCTGTCTCACCTGGCTCTACACTCCCTCTGATAATGCCCATCACATTGGAGGAGTTCTTCACTTCTCCATAGTTGAAGATATCCAGTTTCACATCACTGGAACAGAAATTCAACTTCAGAAGCAATAAGACAGCAAGATATGTAGACTTCCAATACAGCTGCAATCTCTAACAGGAGGTATGTGGAAGTTTTTAAATTTCACGCTCTTATATCCAAGATGTAAAAGTTCTGAAATATTACTGGAACGGAAAATAAACAGTAAATAATTGGTGTTCCATTTATTTAAATAATTTTTTTTAAAGCATATAAAATATATGGAACATATTTTTAATGATGTTGTAAAATTAAAAACTTTTTCTGAATGCCCATTTATACCTTTCAGCACTCTAACAAAATGGTTCATTTGCGAGTCATGTTTTCACCTAACCTGGGAGTGCCGTTTGTTGTGCTTTTGTGTTAAAAAGTTATTGAACATTGTTTTGGGATACAAAGGATACATTTGTTCGAAAAAATGATATTACTAGTTAAGATAAGAATTCCTCTAATGCATAAACTTGTCATGTAGTTGCTTACCTGCATTAAAATCTGATGTACTCCTGAACCCTGGACCTCCAAAGTTGTAGGTACAGTTGAATCCTCCCTGCCATGTTTTGGGTGCTGCTTTTCCGCCAAGCTCACTGAATTGACCAATAGAAAAACATGTAAGAGTAAGTTCTTAAACAACCATTTTGGGCCAAATTAATTCTACAAGCAGATTTGTCTTTTCACAAACCAGATAAGTATGAAGGCATCCTCAAATCCGATTGGTTGAATTGGAATAGGAGGAATCCCAGTAATGTCCTTAACTGGAATTCTGTAGGTTTTCTCTGAGAAATGAGTAAAGAAAGTACAATTATTTATTTACTTAAAGTGTATTTAAAAAACTATTTCTTCTTTTACAAGATTGTCTCAGCCAAGACTGTCAGCAGCACAATTTAACAAAGTTACAGACATACATCATGTACATTTCATTTATTTATAACACTACTGTGAACCTGCACATTGTGAACCACAATTACACATGTCACTGCTTACCTTTAGCTGCCAGGTAGGGTGTGAGTAAGTCTCCATAGTGAGTGTTAAAGGAACCTCTCTCCACACCAGAGGGCGGCAGATACCATGAGTGTGGATAAGTCTCATTAATGTCAGACATGAGACCATCGTTGATGTCCAGAGGGTCTGTGTAAACGAGCACACCAACGACGCCAAAGGGTGCTGCGTTGATGGCCTGGAAGAGACCCACATGGCTTTTTATTTTAACATCTCCTCTTCAGATCCTTTTTTTAATTCACACATTTATTCTCCAAAATCAGAATTTTTTAACTTTTTAAAAATCATTTTTTAAGGCTAAAAACAAAACGTTTATCCCAATAATATTAGCAAATCAATAATATTTACAAGCCATTTGCTGATTTGTGTACTTAAAGATTCATCAATTGAAACATTCTGTGAACAATTTTCTGAATCTCTTTTTCAAAGTAAACGTTTTTATGATTTACTAAGGATCAATAAAAAATGGGCCTAATTGTTTTTTACAATCCAACTTCTTGGCGTGATTAAAGCTTCCTTATTGGGAGTGATAGGGAGCTTTAAATGTAGGTAGTAATTACGAAAAGAGATAATAATAAAATCTCACAGATAAAGACAATGTAACCTCTTTGTTTTCCATGTTTTATAACCTCAATAAAAATGTCTTTAAAAGATCAAGGATATTTACTTTGTTGATGATACCTGCCAAAGCACTCAGAGCTCAACTGCCACTTTTGGCAAAAAAAACTGTTTATTTTTTCTCATGTTTTAGAAAACATAATCAGACTTAACAGGATAATACAATAACTAGAGAACATCCACTTAACAGCACAAACTCACCTTATCAGCTCTTCCTGCTCCACCATATTTGGTGATAGCGATGGTTCCACTGAGGTCCAGTGTCTTATTCAGCTCCTGGTAGTCACTTAGTTTCCCCTGATTGGCGTACACCAATTTCCCCTAAAACCAGCAAAAAAAGTCATCAGAGATCAAGAAGCAATATAGGTAATAATGAAGTTTTCCACAGAATACATGGAGTTTTTTGCAGAAGAAAGGTGAACTAAAAAAAACCCTTACAATGACAGTAGAGTTTATCTTATCGTTGTCTTGTTGGTTCCAAATCTGCTCCACTGATAAACCAGTATTATGACTTTAGCTAAAAAAAAAAAAAATTGGTATGGAGCCTTGAAAATATTTTATTACTTTTTGACTTAAGTTAACTCAATACTGAAAGGTTTTATGGAAAAATGGTTTATGGAAAGAAGGCATACATTTTTTCCCCGGCCAGGATTCTAAGATGCCGAGGACACATTGATGACTTAAACTGAAATATTTATTGTAGCTTGGCCAAGAAGAATAGTCTTGTCCAACAGCGAAGTGTTTCTCTGTATGAAGTATCATTAACAGTTGTTTAACCTACAGTCTGCTGTATGTCAAAAAGTTACCTTAAGAGACCAAATCTGTGGCAGATTATTTTGTCTACAACGTTCCTGTTCCGACCTTGGTTTCCATGGGAACTTTAACTTGCCCAGAAGTCATCAGTAAGGATAGTTTACGTACAACACAAGACAGTCTCTGACACTGTCATGACCCATCGAATAGTGGAGTCACAGAGATTCAGTGTTTATCGAAAAAAATCAGCTTTAATCACGCTTTAGATCTACATATTTAAGATACACTTTAACATTATTTAAAACAGGAGTTTACATGTATTTCTAAAGATCTTATCTTCCTTGAGCATAATGACATGAGCATCAAACACAGACACTTAACTAACAGAGAAGTGACATTTCTCTGTCCCTGTGAGAGAGGGTGACCAGTTAAGAAACAGGTATCAAAGGTTGTGATGGGTAAGTTGCAGTGTGACTCAGAGATGTGACAATCATGTGATTTTTACAATATCACTAACCGACTTTCCAGCTTGTATGCTTCATGACACTGGAATTCCCATAAACAGACTTCTCCTTTTATCTATCCTGCCATATACAGCCTAACTGTATTTTTTGTTATGTTTGATATGTAATTTTATGACATTCAAGATTCAGAATTCTGTTATTTGTTGTCATGTTCCTTATGTATCTGCATACATGAAAAAAAAAGATGAAATGCTGTTCTCCCAGCCCCAAGCAGTGTGACATAAAAGAACATTTAGACATATACAGTACATACCTAAAAAAAAAAAAAACCTCCTAAGAAATAAAATCACTTAAAGTACAATAAAAAAACACAATAAAAATAACTTAGATTACAAAAACAATGGCTGGAATTAAAACAAGCAGCATACAGCTGGCACCAGTCACTCTGTTTGTGAAGCAAGTTTGGTTTGCACTTATATCTGTCCAAACAGAATTCTCCGGCTTGTTCCTAAAAATATATTGAAACAATTCCACTGAAGACCCATGGAAGAATTGTGTCAGGCATCTCTAAGAGATCTTTAGACAGTGTTTCAGATCTGTATGGATGCAGGTTTTTTACCATTACGTTTCCAGCAGGGGAGTATGCAGCGTATGGCTGAACCACCTCAGGATCATCTTGGTCTGGAGTGTAGCTCTTCTCTTTTTCTCTGACGGTGTGCAGCACGGTTTCAGACGGGCTCACTGAAATCAAACATCTAGTCACTATTCTGTTTGGGGGTCAGTGAATATCAGCAGGTCACTAATGGTACAAAAACAAACAACAACCATGTCTGACAATTGTAAAGATTAGTTCCAGTTTGTTTAGTAAGCTGGGTTGAAATATAGCTTCCAGAAAAAGTTGTTTTATAGGAAAGATGATTAGAAGAGTGGTCTAAATGTAACACTTTGCCCTGAGGACTTCAACCTCCTGGGCTATTCATGTCACTTTAACTGCAGCTTTCAAACAGATAACAACATTATTTATGTGTCTCTGTGTTCTGTAAATCCGTCTCATTCTTAAATTGTAGCAAAAGGATAATTTAATTAAAATAAACACACAAATAAAGAAATGAGATGTAACTCACCTACAGTGACCTTGTTGGGTTTCTTGGGGTCAGGAAATGACAGGTAGACCATGTATTCCTCTCTCCAGGCCTCATCCAGACCGGTTTTGGGGTCCTGCCATCTTTTCAGCATATACTGCACGGTCTGCTCGTCTCCAGCTGTGGTGGCCATGTGGGGCACTTTGGTCAGCTCCCTGTGGAGGATGATGGGTAGAGGTTTGATATGTTTCTAATATTTGACTGTCTAAAAACTAAAAGGGCAATAAATAATCTAAAGAGATTACCAAAGGAGGATTATAACAACCACACACTTCAATGGTCTTGTATTTTTTCAAGAAAATTTACAAATATGTTATAACAGATATAGAAGAACCCTCCTGAATTCTAGTTTTGGGCCGTATTAGTCTTACACACAAGCTGGTCTACATGGCTGTTCAATTATCTTTTTTCTCAATTTCCTGTTTAGACTCTCTGGTCTCACATATTTATAATAGCTTGAACAAAAAAGAAAACCTAATAAAATCGTAACTAAGTGCCAAACAAAATCCAACTTTTGTCATTCATAAACTCACCGGAGGTTCTCCTGAATCTGAATGTTGTCCACCTCAGACAAGAACTTCTCAATAAAACTCTCATCCACATCCTTCACCACATCTTTGACCCAGGACGGTGCAGAGCTGCTGCTCTTTACGATACCATAGTTTCCAATAAGAATCCCCACAGTCAGTATGACAGCTCCGCACAAAATCCCAATCAACACCTGCTTCATCATTCTCTTCTTGAAAGTTGTCCCGACAGGGAGCGTCCTCCAATTGTTTTGGTGTTACTTATGTGAGAGAATGCTGGCTGTAACAGTACAGCTGCAGCTCCCAGGAGAAATAGAAGCAGTCACTGGGACGTTTACTAATTAATGTTTGCAGATGGGTTGGACTTTGTCCTTGTGTGTATGATTGTGAGGGAGGCTGTCAATGTATTTTCAATGTCAGCGCTCATTCTCTGTGACTGTGCTCTAAATGTTTGGACTATATTTGATACTTGGTGTGATAATGATTCCAAGACAACACAAAAGTAGAAGAAAACTAAAAACAAATAAATAAAACAGTGAAAAAAAAGATTTCATTTTGAAACACATTCTTGTAGTAATTTTAAGGATGCAACGCAATTCAAAGTCTTTTATTATGTGCCGTGGATCCTGAATGTTTTTTTTTGCTAGGATGGCTTGTGACTTCTTTTTTTCAAGTGTAATATGTTACCTGTTTAATGAGAATCGTGTGAAACTTTGCCTTGAAAGAATCAAAGCTCTTATCATGTTGACAGCAATCAAAGTCTTGCACTTTGCATTTCCTTTCTGTTTTTCTTTGTTCCAGGGTATTCTGGACTGATTTAGAAAACTGTTTGCACATTTTGACTATTCTAAAACCCAGTTGCTTTTTTACTTGAAAAAAAAAAAGTTAATTAAGCTAGAAAAAAATAAAACATGTCTAAAAATGTACTTAAAATTATTAAAGAGTATAATAACTTTTTGTTTTGTAAGTTCTGTTGCAATTCTCATTTTATTAATACTTTTATTATATTTTATTATATTTGTATGGTCTTTCTGTGTGTCTGTACATTTAATTTAAGATACAGTACACCTGTAACTAAAATCTACTTTCTAAAAACTATTGATAATTGATGATGATAATTGGAACAACAACATTTTCTTTTTTTAAATGATCAATGTTTACATAAACACCTTGTATGAACAGGTATGATAGGTGTAATTTGTTTGGCTTACTGGAAATTGACCTTAATTGGAGTATTTAATTTAGGAGATACTACTTTATTGATTCAAAATTAAACCATCTTTATTTTTTTTTTTTTCTTTGACTCTTACATTTAAATACCTTGAATTTTTTTTTTTTTTTTACCTCCTTTTAAATGAATCTATAAAATACGTAGCCCTGCATAGATTTCTAATATAAAATGCATCGAGTCCTGACAACGGACTGTCATTGGATAGAAAACAAAATATTGTATATTACAGCAATAGTACCCTCTAGTGGTGAAATCATCGCAGTCCAATACAACACGGAACTTCCTGTTGGAAGGTCTAATTTCCTCCTATTTCCTACACAGTAGCTTTCTTTCTTTGATGTCCTTTAGTAACCACTAATGGAGATTAAACATTAATGTGAAGATGGAAAATATACCGGTCGTGCACTGCTTTTTATAATTCATGTTTTTGTCGGTTGTCTGTAGGAGCTGTCGACATGAAAACACATCTTGGAAGCATCTAATGTTGAATTTACCGTTTTTATCCACACAGCTGTAAGTATCAATGACACACTAAACGACCTTAAGTGATAGGCTGTTGACGTTTCTTTGTGGTAGCCTAACTCCCAGCATGCAACTCCTGCTTCCTAAGTTTCATTTTCACTTCTTTGTGCCTGAAACGGTGTGCCGAAAAAAAACACGGTAGGTAAGCTTAACTTTCGTTACACTCAAGTTCACATTATTGAACAATGGTAAGAAGTATAATTAAAACAATAACGCATAAATGCTTGGTGAATTAGGATGTTGTTCTTCCGGTAAAGGAATCCTGACCTATAATGAATGGAAATTCGTGTGAAATCGAAAGTGTTGCACTTCGACCTTAACGTGCGTTGGCCTTTTGTTCAAAGGTGTTTGTTTGTCAGCTATCGGTATATTTTTTTTACTAAAAATAGAGGAATCAATGATTGAACATCTGAGAATTATTCGCTTATTACCAAGTCCAATTGAGGACCACCTATTATCTAAAATGTAAAAACTGTAGGCTAAAATAAAATTGTATTCCTTGAGATAAACATGAAGTTGTTTTGTATTTTTGTTTTATAGGTGAGAGAACCTCCTGCATTCTCCATCACCATGTTTGTGGCTCCTCTCCTGCTGCTGCTCTCACTTCCCTTTCCCCCCTCATCCGGTGCCCAGTTACCCAATCAAAACCAAGCCAAGCATGTCCCAGTGGCAACCAACGGACAGCCCTTCCCCTGGCACCACATGAGACTCCCTAAAACTGTCTCCCCCCTCCACTATGACCTCTCCGTCCACCCAAACCTCACCACTCTTGACTTTACAGGCATTGTTCGAATCCAGCTGAACGTGCTTGAAGACACCAGGACAATCGTGCTCCATGCCAAGAAGATGCAAATATCCAACGTGCTGCTCCTTGCACCTGAAGGCGTGAGGCCTTTGCAGGTGTTGGAGTATCCTCCTTTCCACCAGCTCGCCTTGCGGTCAGACTCTGTTCTGACCAGAGGGAGGAGGTATGAAGTTCAGCTACAGTTTGCTGCAAACTTGTCTGACAGCTTCCATGGTTTCTACAAGGGCAGCTACCGCACCAGCAGCGGGGAGGATCGGTAAGGGCAATAAGGACACACTATTCTATGTTTCTTAAAAGCATCTTGACATCAGTTTATTAGGGCCACATTGGTTTGACATACCAATATAAACTTAAAAAAGAGATTTGATACACATGTTTTGTTGCATATTTCAAAATAAGGCTAATGTGATTGTGCTGTTTTTGTAGTCAAATGTACCACCTGATTCCCAGGTTTAATGGGAAATGTAGTCATAAAGTGATTCTCAAACTGATCTCTAACCATGTGAGTTACTTCATTAGTGTGAAAAATGGCAGTATTTGTTTTAAACGGCCATCGTAGCTTCACATAGTAGGTGGCCTTGAACAACTTTCAATTTCTCGTTCCCACCTTTGCTTAAATTGTAAACTAGCAAAGTGTCCAACAACCCAAAACATGACATACCAGAATATAAGCGCAAGGGATATATATACATATAATAGACCATGATATTCTGACACATTTCTACAATTGACACAAACACAGATACTGTTTGTAATGTTGAACACATTTCATGTGTTAATGTTTAATGTGCCGCTAAAGCACTTCTTTAAATGTTTTGTACGTATAGCAGCTTTAATTATACTTCCAGTCTTCCCACAGCCTGTCTGGTAAACAGAAATATCACTTGTTTTTAAACTGTTTTCCACTCGCACATTTAGGGTTCTGGCGTCCACACAGTTTGAAGCCACCTTTGCCCGTGGAGCTTTCCCCTGTTTCGACGAGCCCGCCTTCAAAGCCAACTTCACCATAAGGATTATACGAGAGCCACGCCACATAGCTATATCCAACATGCCCAAGGTACACAAGGAGGAAGACAAATCTGTTGACTTTCAGCTCTAATGGGGAGTTATTGCTAATACCTTACTTTCTATTGGCTGTTAACATTTCTTACATTACATCAGAAAGGCATAACGTTTTTAAAAGGGAATTAATTCACTGTACTTTGTCTTTAATTGAACTGCTGATTTGCCCTTTTAATTCCCAACATCCGGTGGTTCTTAGGTGAAGACAGTGGAGTTGCCTGGTGGTTTGCTCGAGGATCACTTTGACACATCAGTTCAAATGAGCACTTACCTGGTGGCCTACATTGTGTCTGACTTCTCGTCTGTGAGCAGAACCACCCAGCACGGTGTCAAGGTGAGAAGGAGTTCTTTTACTTAAAGCTATACAGTCATAAATATGTGTCTCGTGGTTTTCCACATTTTTTTTTTCTTCACTTTGTTCTTTCCTGTGGTTTCCATTAGATTTCAGTCTACGCTGTAGCTGAGAAGATTGACCAAACAGCCTTGCTCTGGATGCTGCCGTGAAGCTATTGGACTTTTATGATGACTATTTTGATATTCCTTACCCTCTTCCTAAACAGGGTTAGTGGAAATACATCACTATCAGTATTTAGGTGTAAATCAAACTTGTGTTATCATTGCTCAAATTTAGGATGGATTATGTTTTTACTGATGTGGGCCAAAGCTCCCCCTCCCCCCCAATGTGAGGCCTTGGGAGCGGCTGCATTATCCCTGTTGTTGCTGTTATTACTTCTAAAGATTGGATTCAAGTTTTTTAAGTTATCTTTTTGTGATGTGCATGTTGAAGCTGAAGAGGAGACTTGTTAAATGTTATCAGCCAAAAATACTTAACAGAACATAACCAACATAGCCACTTTTTTAGGCACGTTAACTGGAGAGCATATAGTGTATGTGTAAATGAGATTTAATATTAACTTTATTTAAGGCTCTTAACAGTGAACATGCCCACAATTAGCATGTATTCATGTCACAGTCTTCATGGAATGGAAAAGCTGTAGGAATGTTACAGAAATTCCTGAAAATGGATGGAAATAGGAGAACAGTTTTCATCTGGAGGGAAAACAACACTTAGTCGAGCCAGCTGGTGAGGAGAAATATACCACGTTTTGATTTATTGATTTGCTCGCTGTTCCCTGCAGACCTGGCTGCCATCCCTGACTTTCAGTCGGGTGCAATGGAGAACTGGGGTCTGACCACCTACAGAGAGACGGGCCTCCTCTTTGACCCCGACAGGTCCTCAGCTTCAGACAAACTGGGGATCACCAAAGTTATCGCTCATGAGCTCGCACACCAGGTAGCTCGTCTGCGTCCTTTTAGTTTTTAGAAGTAAAGTTTGTTGGTTATTAACTTCATCAGTTATCCTGAGAGCAGTTTAAACAGCACTTCACTTCTTGAACATGATGAAATGAAACTCTTGTTACATGTTTTCCTCCTTGTGCAGTGGTTTGGGAATCTGGTGACGATGGAGTGGTGGAATGACCTGTGGCTGAACGAGGGTTTTGCAAAGTTCATGGAGTTTATTTCTCTTGACATCACCTACCCAGAGCTGCAAGTGGTGAGGGCCGATTATAGAAAGCTAACTACCAACCTCTTCATTATACTCTATCTCCATATATATTGTCTAACATTTTAGGGAGTTTTGAGAGTAAACAAGAAAGAAACTCAAACGTATGTAAACTTATACTCTTTTCCAGGATGACTTCTTCTTGGGGAAATGTTTTG